TTATTGTGTAGTTTACAGTTGTTTTCTACGATTGTAAATCTATATGGTATGCCAGTCTTGTTTGTAGTCTATATTTAAGCATTTATATTCTGTCGTGAGTTTATTTGCATTGTGAAAATAATCTATGTTGCATGTTTTTGGATTCATATAGTAAAATTTTAGTAAAAATTGTATTGAATCAGGATACAATAGTAACGAAAATCATGCAGTGATATTTTGAGTCCTGGGCTCATGACTTTCCGGTTGGACTCAAACTTTGAGAAAACAGCTATACCTTTCATTATTGGGATTCATCAAAGTTTTGGAATTGGTGTTCTAGAATCAACTGGAAAAATCCTGCAAAAATTACAGCTTCCTAGCAACTTTTTATGTAATCGTTGCTGAAGCAACTGAAGTTGGGATATCTGACTTTTCGTCTTTCTGAAGACTGATTTTTTTCTTTTTGTCTGCCTTTTGCCTGATATGAAGTCGATCGTTCGTCCAAGTGAAAAAGGCAATGGGTTCTGTCCCCAATCCGTGGTAAAGTCATTAAAAGGTGTTTCGTGCTCCGTTTGTCGCTTCCCTTTGACCGGATGCGTTTGAGTTGGTTAGCTCGTTGCCAGTAGGACCATTCGAAGTGTCAGGTAATCGTTTTCAAGTTGTAGGGTTTCATTTTGATAGCACTACAAATTCCATTGTCCGTGAACATCGTCTTCACATATACTCTTAGCTGTTGCGGGAAAGTTAACCCCAGACAAACAAAATTAGAAACAGACATGGCATCCAAACAATTGAAACAACATGACATTTTAACCAAACACTGATAATACAACGACAATATAATGACATTACCTTTTGTTAAGACTGGTAACGTACAGCACCGGACAAAAATTTCTACAAATTATCAAACTCACCGGTAGAGTAAAATCAACTGTGAGACATTGAAATCAAACTGTAAGGTGACAGTAAGTTGAGATGTGCGTCTTAAATAAAGCAGAGAAGTGCGGGAGAGGAAAACACAGATGCGGGAACCGATATACTTATAACAGTAGAAATTATTTAAAGGATCGAACTTTGACACTTTAAAAACTTTTTGGTTGGTAAATTCAGCATGATTTCATTTGATTATCTAAATAGGAACTCATTTCTAATGGTAGCTCGTACAGATGGCATACAGCTTTACATTGCTGGATGTACAGACATCTTTCTTGAAAATGTAGTTTTACTGTGAGGAGTTCAACTTGACCCCCTTAAAAAATTGAGGGCCAGATTTCTGAAATTCATAGGAAAGCCTACCAACAACAACAGTTTTAAATAGAAATTAATGTTTTAACCAAACAGATTAGACATCCAATTCATAATTGCTTTATTGGTTCTGCACGTTTAATTGTAATTAATTTCCTTCAGTCAGATATATAATGTTTCATGAAAAGTGTTGTAGACTAAAGACTATACATACAGACTGTAGCTAATCTTAGTTCTTTGACAGTCCGTAAGGAGTAGGCTACATTAGTTGCACAGTCTGTAAAAAGATGAAATTGGATATACAGTTTATATACGACCTCGTGAATATTAAAATTCTGAAATGTGATTTCTGGAATGAGTTTAGAGCAGAGATGCCATACAGATGAATATTTTCAGATATTATAAAGTCGTTTTCCATTGAGGCTATTGTGTGAAGAACAGTCTCCTTAATAACTTTTGAAGTAGCATAAGACGCTACACTTCCGGAACATATGGTATTTTTGCCATCGTACTTTTCCAGGATTGTCCGAATGAATCGGTATTTTGCTAGTATTTTGTCCTTGTTTTATTGAATTTTATTTTAAATTATGATTCATGTTAGTATTGTCTTTGCTGTTTTTGAAGAGTACTTTCGGAATTCCAGGAGGTGAGTCCATTCCTGATAGACTCCATCGGTCATTGTTATATCTGATCACTTCCTAGCTCTCTTATCCTTGTCCTATCCTTGTTTTGTTTTTGTAATTTCATTATTCTATATGTATGTTTCATGAGGACATTTGGTAGTCAGATAATTCGATTGGTCGGGATTATCCAGTCATTTGTCCGATTTATCAAGAATTATGATGGTAATATTTTTGTTCCTAGAGGTCAATCACTTTTTTTTTATACTACTATCAATGTTAACAATGTCAAATTTAACTCCTTGTTTTAAAGTTTTTATACGTAATCTTAAAACTCAGGTCTCTTATGACGCTTGTATGATATGCGAGTTTTGTTTCTATAATCCTGATTTAAGCTAGCGATAATAAACTAGTTTTTTATGCCAAAATGCCACAATAGTACTTTGCATGATCTACTGTAAAATCATATATTTTTGTGTGGTTCAATTTTCGGGTTTTTCAAAAAAAAAATGCTTTTATGTGGACACTTGATTTCGTGGATGAATATAGCTCGACTAATTAAATTAACAGTTTGAATGCATTTGTTGATCAAGAGTGTCACAAATTCTATGAAAATAACTCCCGCACGAAAATCGGTAATGTTGCGAATATATACTACAGAAAGTTTCCTATAATGATTAATTGTATACCTCGGTATCTTGTTCCTTCCAACAAAATTCATTCACATATTTTTTTCGATGTCGAATTTGTTTCACTTGTACAACATCAGAATATAACATCAGTATTCATAGCAATCAAAAATTGATGTAGGCCATACAAATACAAAATGTATATGGTACATGTACTTGTAAATCGATTAGTCACGCTGAGGTAAGTGTTTGGAAAATGAAAAATATGTTAAATTGAAATTGATATACATTGTATATATATTCGCTAAATATCTTAATGATCCTACGTCATTTATTACTAACTGGTATTCTACATGATTCTCATGGAGTGTGCTAAACAGCACCATTCATCTGTTGTTTAGCCTGGGCATGTTTTGACGATTATTTACACCACGGACTTAGTATAGATCTATTCTAAGTCCGTGCTTTCACTAAAGAAAAAAATAGTGTTAATAGAAACATCGTAGGATGCCTTGAGAAACGACCAATATCTATTGTTTTATAACAGTTATAGGCGTGTTCACACTAGTTTAATTCATAGGAGTCTCTCGCGAGAAATAGTAGAGGTTTTTTTCATTTATTTATTTATTTTTATCTCTACTTTGGAGACATATCTTATTATTTCATTGGTTGAATAATTCCTATGGAAACCTTGTGAAATGTACGTGATACATGTGATTGCTAGTCTTAAGAGCTTGTTTCGTGTATATTTATCATCATTTCTTCGACAGATGTATACGTATATGCCATTATTTTTCTTCTGTATTTCATACAAAATTTTAAAAAATTTGCTCTGAAGGCAATTGAGATTTAAAAAAAAAATATGTCGAAATTAAAAATGGAAATTGTCTGCGATGCGACAAGTTGACATATTAATGTATAGAAATTGTTTTTTTCATTCAATTTTTAGCTGATAACCATGTTACTAAAACAAAACGAGAAAAAAATTTAACAGGAAATTATAATACTCGAAGATTTTTCTTTCGAAATGTAAAGAAATACTGTAAAAACATATGCAGTGGGACACAAATTTCGTGCTTTTACAATAAATGTGAAATTCTGTTGATACTTCATTTGGTGGATAAATCCTGCTCAGTACCAAAACTCATTTTAATGCTTATCTTTTCGTGGACATACAAATTCGTGCGTTACGAGTAACCACGAATTACACGAAAATCAAACAACTAGGAAAATTAAACCACCACGAGACCTAATAATTTTACAGTAACATCCACTGTATCAATATATTTTAACATATACGATACAGAATCAGAACAACAAATCAGTTTACAGTGAAGGTATTTTTAGTCAGCCATTATGTCACTGGAAGGTTAACAGTTCTGAAGGCAATGTCTAGTAGGCGAGGGTGCAATGATGGAATCATATCAAAACTAAACACACGTTTCCGAAATTGAATGTTTTATTAGTGTACAAAAATACTAAATTGTACAGGCATATCTTTATGAAGTAAATCTTCTATATGTAAAAAATATTGAACAGCCTTTAATATTTCTGAACAATCACTATCTGTTGTACATGGTTATAACTGTACATGACTCTTATATACTTTTATATTAACTGTATTTCGTTATAGTTTTGGCAGTATATAAAACCGGTAATATTGGATTTAAGGCTATTTACATTAGGTTAAGATTTCTTTTTTCAATTTTTGACTTCTGCTCTACACAATATATAGATTTTATCTTCATGTTTTTGCTATAGTTTAACTTAATATAGAGTCCTATCAAAGATTCATTCCATTTTCCACTCCCTTTTCACATAATTATTATTCCTTTACCTAACCTTCCACTCCCCCCCCCCCCCATCTCCCCCCCCCCCTCCATTCCCCTCCAACATCAGCAATGAATGCACAATGTACCAGTAACAAATATGATATTATGTATGTATTTAAAACTTTTAATTATTCAAATATTTATTTCTCATTATTTGTTTATATTAATATATTGGTTTCAAATTCAAAATTTGTAGGAATTTTTTTTTAACTTTCATCTAACCTCAATAGCAAAGGATGTAATTATTTCATACCGTAATTTACTACAACAATAACTTGGAAAAAATAAATAATCAATATTTATGATGTAATTCAGCTTCTTTTTCAGCAAATTCAGCAATTATTACATAGTTATGTGTAGAAAAATATTTGCGCACGTAGCTAGTTTCTTAATAATTTGATAACTTAAAAAACATTTCTTTTGTCTTCAGATGAAAAATGAAATGTACACAAAACACAACAAATCACATGATGCCAACATATCAAAGACTGAATATCCAGTTTGAATCTATTTGATGTCCAGTATAGTTCTAGCTCCAGCACTTGTAGACTAAGTCCATGGTGAAAAGTATCTGATAGTTTTTAACACAATGAGAAACTGCTAGATAAGGTCATTGTATACTTGACCTTTCTTACCACCATGGAAGATGAAACTTCTGATTCACAGCTTAAAAATATATTAAAATGTCTGTATTGATTAACATGATAATAAAGATGTAAATAGACAATAACCAACAGTCTAAGATTTGGGTGCAAAATTTTCCACTCTTTCCAACAAGGCATCGGAGTATCCTGGGGAGTAATATCTGAAAATGACAAAAATATGACGATTTGTTACTTAACTTTACACTGCTAAAGAGTATGTTTCTAGATGTAACTTTAAACAAATACACTATCAAAATCTTAAAACAGAAAATATCTTTTTTCATCTTCCACTGAACACAGGGACTTGGCACAAATTTCCAACCCCACGGTCTTGTGATACTATTTATGCAGGAAATGTGCCAAGTCCCTGTACTCCAGGATGATGACAACAAATGTAGATTAACTTGTCAAGTAAATTTTTAACAGTATAACATTCATCATTCAATGTTCATATCAATCTTTCAAATTACTTTAAATACTCACTTGACAATTTCTTCTGGGTAACAGTTGTTGATCGTGTTGTTGTATTCAGCGAGAGCTGATCCTGGTTCGGCTTTGATTTCTTGAATTTTCTTCAGGCCACCACTAGTAACAAATAATCGTCTGGCTTTGGAATCGTGTGGGAGAACTTTGCTGAACTGTCCGACAACATGTTTGAGAATGTTGGGAGGGGCATCATGCAAGAGTGGTTCCAGGGCGGCTAAGTGTACGCATTTTTGTAAAATGTTCTTTAGAGCTTTCTTACTCTGTAAATGAAAAATATTAAATGTTAATCAAATTAGATACATTTTACACAAAAATAACACAATATATTAGCATATGAAGTTCTTTTTCCTGTTTACTTAGTTCTCATTAAAACAAAAGAAACATTATTGTATCAAGGTTTGTTATTTTAGGGAGTTCTTATTCTCAGTATTTTAGAGGAGTTAAGATAAATCTATGGAAAAAAAATCTTGAAAATAAAATTCACAATTCACTGAAAAAAAAGTATTAGCTATTTCATATCTTATGAAAAATAAATCCTTTTTTTTTTTTTAAATTTCATAACACTGCAAACATTTGAAACATTCAAATCAATTTTACAATACCTTTGTCTGTAAGTCTTCAGAGGATTCGGCGCGGAGGTAACATTGGAGAAGTTTGGGGAGGACATTAGCGACAGCAACTGCTTTAGAGTGTTCTGGAGTATGGCGACCTATCTGTCCTAGTGCCCATGCAGCAGCTGCCTGAATGTGGTCCTCTGTTTCTTCTGATAAAGCAATAGCTAATTGCACAACACCCTGCAAGTAAGAAATTGTATAATGCATTACAAGTTACAGAGATTTATTAATGTTTTTTGACTTACCAATATCAAGTCAAAGATTGAGTTACTAATACATCTGAGTAAATATTCAGTCTCTAAAACAACATTTTATTGTCTAATTCTAATTTTCTTATAAGTTGATTTTATTTTGTGTCTTTAAAATTTATCTGTGAAAACATGACATCAGTTCATAAAATATTAATGAAAATTAGGCAATAGAATATTATTTTAGTCAAGGAGAAAATTAACTTATTATTATGATCCTTAATTCTCATCAAGTACAATGTAGTATTATAATACCACCTTTCTTGGTTCAAATACTAAAAACAACAAAAAATCATCATAGACATTTTTGTCAAAACGAATCCTTCAAAATATTCTTTGAAAAATAAAAAGCCTTTAAATTTACTTTTCTTCCTTTACTAATATGCAAATACAAACCAAATGGTTGATGGGAGTATCAATTCCTTCTTACAATTTCAAATTGTTGATTAAGTCAACAAAAATACAAATTGACTATTTCCATTTTTCTAATTCTATTTTGTCACTCATGATGTGCATTAGATGATTAAAATTCAATTACCTTAGAAACAATAACAGCCATTGCTAGATTTTCTGAGTGAGCGGCTACATATCCCAACATCATGATACCAGGTAGTCTAATGTTACCTCTGCATTCTCCAACATAGTCTACCACCGCAGCAACTCCACCAGCATTCACAATCAACTGGGCAAGCTAAAACACAAAACCATAGCCATTATGAGAAATCAACAGATTGATTTTTCAAGCACTCACATTTCAATAAAAAATACTAACTTCAATTCTTTTTCAAATCAAAACTGAAACCCAATGTGATGACATTAATAAGGATCAAAACAAGAAGTAGTCAGAGAAAGGGAAATAACTTGAATAACCTTATGTAAGATCTGTTCACATAATTTTTGAAAGAGACATGAATTTATCTCATTAAAATGATTTGTAAATTTGAATTTCCATAACATTGACATAAATGTTGACATGGCTTTGTTCCTTGTGAATCAAGTTATCTTACCTCTGGAGTGTGTTTTGCTATTTCTCTGATAAGGGTGGCGACATTCTTCTTGACATATTCATCTGGATCTTTCAAGCAGGTGAGCACAGCTGGGAAGATTTCTGCCTCGACAACCATCTCAGCCAAATCAACAGAATGTTTGGAGATCTGACTCAGAGCGGAGAAAACTTGTCTCTGTGGAGGCGAGATATTGCAGTTTAACATTAAATGCTCTTACAGTATTTGCCTGAAATTAAGTTGATGTCTGTTGATAAGCAGCTGAATGAAAATAAAACCAAATCTATTTTGCTGTCCTGTAATAAGCCCATTCCCTGATTTTGAAGTATGGAATAATGTGTTTGCCCACTCTACTGGGTTTACTTTAGGGTAATTAGTCTGAGTACAATAGTATCTACAGATCAAACAAGACAGAAAAATCTAGAACAGGGTAGAATGCAAGATATCACTAACACAACTACCAGAAAGATATTTTATACAGGCTAAATTAATGAAAACAAGTCTGATTAAAATGTACATTTCTAATAGTGTGCTATAATTTTACACCATAATGTTGGTGTGTAAAATCTAAGATAAAAGCAGCAATACCTCCTTGATTTGAAATTCATTTTTTCTTTTTTTCTTATTTCCTGCATTATTTGGAAATTTTGTCTAATGCATACCTTCAGCTTAGCATCTGGGTTGAGAATCATTTGAGCTAAGTGAGCTATGGCTCCAGCATCCACAACAGTCTGGGCAAGCTCAGGAGAATGTTTGCAGATATCACTGAGAGCAGAAGCAGCGATGCGTTTCAGGGACAATTCCGGTTCCTGTATACAGAGGACCAGCAATGGGACTGCTCCAGCATCAACCACAGCCTGGGCAAGCTCTGCAACAGCAGTTATAGAAAATATTACTCAGTCACTTACTCAGTACATGTAATTTACAATTACTAGATCTCTTTTGTATATATTTAAATTTATCATTTTACACAATCTTTTTTTTTTTAATTTGTATTATGGATTGAATATACAGTCTCTCAAATACATTTCATTGCCCAAATCTCATTTTTTTCCCAAAGAGCTGGTTTGACTTTTTTCACATTTTTATAATTTCCTATTTTGTAAAATGTGAAAAAATGAAATAAGCTTGTAATTATGATAATGAAATTTGTGAAATAACATTTATTGTAAATGGGATATTTGTACTACTTGGATTTAAAAAGTTTGAACTTTTTAGAAACTGAGTATCTTTTAATTTAGTTGACTGTAATACAAGTGACTTGTTCTAAATTTGAAGATCAAGATTATAATACAGTATACTTTTTGTAATTTCAACATCACAATGTAAGTGAGAAAGGGTAAGATATTTGCGATGACTCTCTGAATTTACCTGCATTATGCCTGGCTATATAACCTAATGCCCAGGCTGCAGCCTCCTTTACACCGGGATCAAATTCCTCCAGACAGATAACAAGGGCATCTAGCGCGCCACAATCTACCACAGACTGAGCCAATTGGGGAGAGTGCTTAGCTACGGCTCTCAGCACAAATGCAGCTGCCTTCTTATAGAATCTCTGTAGAAATATGGAAATAAAATAAGTACACACACACATATCTATCCAAAACATATTGGATCAACTACTGAATACACAGCAAAATTTCAGAGATAAAATTTATTTATTTCAATATAAATTACATGCAAAACCTTTGAACATTCAAAGTCATTTAATGTAGTTTTACTTCTCAACACTTCAAATATTTCAAAAAGTGTTTCATTTATTTATTTTTTGTATCAAATGTGGCATATAAAGATTTGCCACCTGCCACCAATCAACAACATGAGCTCATCCTTTGAATTAGACCACTAAAGTGATAAATATGGAGAAAAGCTTAGGTAAGCTTAATCAAAAAGTAAGAGCTAAAATTTAAAACTGAGTCAAACTGCTTCCAATTTTCTTTACAGTTAAACATGTGACACTATCAGCACTATTTTTGTGTCATTACACCATAAACATTTCTCTTACATATCAATATCAAGGTTTTATTTTATTCTTTATAATGAACCAGATTTGAACAATTATAAATTATTTTTTATATGAGATTTTGGTTATATTGCAGCTTAAAAATTGATGCAAACATTTTGCTCAGCTAGGGAGTAGACAAGCTGGGGAAGAATATCGCCTTTAACCACAGCTTCTGCCAAGTCATCATTGTAGTTTGCCAGACGCCCTAGTGCCAAAGCAGCAGTCTGTTGGATGGTTGGTACAATGTCCAACAAAAGTGGCCGCAGAAGTGACATAACACCAGCATTCTGAAGTGTTTCAATGTTCTGTGGTCTGCTTGCCAACTCTGCTACTGTCTGGACAAATTGTGTCCTTGCCTTCTGGTATTGCTCAAACACTGCAAAGTAGCAAATTACATTAATAAATGAATTTGATACATTTCATATAATGCGATATAATCATAAATGAATGAGAAAAAAGAATCAATGAAATCCAATGACCTGCATTTTTAACTCATCAACACCTATATTTACAATGTACGATAATACTATACAGTAGGTGGAACAGTGACTCTGCAAGTCCTGAGAGTTGTTCTGCTTCTGCGCATACAATCATTAAGCAATGTCTTTTACTAATGTTGATAATATTCTTTACCAGTGTCTGAGTGCCAGTGATCTTGTTTGTATCAAATGTGGTATTTTTGCTAAGAATCTTACATCTTATAACAACTGATGTTAACATTTATTTCTGTGCCTTTAACAGTATGGAATTGAAAGATTCACTGGAAAGCATTCAAAATCTTGATTTAAGATCCTGTGACATCAACTTTCTTTGAGAATTTATTTATTAACTGTTGAGTGTTGAATGGCATTAAGATAGGGAAATAACTTTATCTCATATCATGTAAGAGAGAATTCTCATTTTTAAAGATGCTGGTATCACAGTTACAAAAACATATATCAAAAATGTAACATAATGGTATTTATTTTTCTGCGATCTACTTATGGGCTCAACTGTTTACAGACTGCAAGTACGTGTATCATCACATAGTGGGCAACCCTATCAAAACATGACCAATGTCTGGGAGACCGCTTTTATCTTAAAATGGTTTTTCTTCGAAAACATTTCACTTCATCTCGTGACGAAAACAGGAAATTACAAACACTCTACAGTACGGTAGATATAGCGTCAATCAGTGTCTGTATGTTTTTCAAGACAAGCACAGGCGAAGCTTTCTATTTTTCCTGTGTTTGCGTGTGTATCGACGCCGAATAAATCGTTTCTTACACATTACATAATAAAAAGAGAACCCATACCTTGTAATACTTGTCGTTGACTCATTTTGGAACTGTTCGGCTCCTTCTTCTGTAAAATATGTCAAACAACTGAATGAAACCTGCCTTAGCAGCGCCGAAACTGTCTGCTAAATACACCGTTGTCAAGGCAGAAACTAGTAACGTAGTAGCTCCGCATATAATTAAAGCTGTTGCGTTGATTTGTTTATATTGAATTTAGTAATATCTAAATCTGACTTCAATGGGTATAGTATTAATTTCAATTCACTACTTGAATTTGATGAAATTATCTAGTACATAAATTATCACAAAGACTCCTTTCGTAAAATACGCCTCCCTAACCATTTGTGCGGAATAGCAAGATGGCGCTCTCCTTGAAGGTTTCTCGTTCGGGGTTGATTTTACAGAATCAAAGGATTTTAACGGTAAAGACATTAAATGTTCGATAATTCTAGCCGATAAAACATGCATAACGAATTTCAGCATACTAAGCAAGAAACACTCAAATACAGCTGAAAACCCCCGATCACGAAACGTCCCAATGTCTGTCTGTAGAAGCCTCTGCCTGTGGGAATTTCCCTTTAGTCGAGCGGTAGTGTCCGGTTAGAGAGCGAAGAGTCACTAGTTCGAACCGGTGGCATAGCGCTTTTTATTACTCGCTCCTATTACACTATTTATCGGTTAAGATACTGAAATGGTAACATATTCGATTAACTCGACTAAACCGTATATGAACATTGGGAGCTTTCAGTTTCATGCAGGTTGTCACGACAGGTTCGACTACCCAGCGTGATAATCAAGCATGCTCAGAGCACAGGTACGTTTATTAGTTTACGCTCTAGATACAGGTGTCTCCTTTGCTCAGAATGACAGTGACCGCATTCGTATTTAAAACACGGGCTTGTATATGGCATTGTCTAGTTTGAGCTAGAGTTAACCATTTGCTAGCATATTTTAGCGTTTAAAATTGGTAATTATCCCATTTTAGCACAGGCTGTACACAGTGATACTAGCCTCGTCTGTCAATACAATTTATAATGCATGGCAGCTAGCAGTTGCAGGCAACCATCTTTGTTTTTGACATTGAAAGTGTTATCACTATTTTTAGAAGTGGGTATTTCTCGAATTTTGTATGTACCGGTAGTTTCCTCTTGGTCCATGGTTATACCTTTTTTGATTTTGAAATTGAATTTGACCTGAAAATGGCTAACAGGCATCAATTTTGGATTTTAGACCAATACCAAATATAAACCCTGAAGTATCAAGGATGTACATTGCAAGGAAAAGACTATGTCTCTTCATAAGATTTTTTAAATTCAGTTTCTTTCTGTTGCAGTTTGACGTAACACATATCATTAGCATACATGAATTTAAAAAACTATCAAAAATGATCAATCAGATGTTGTTATTTTTTCTTCATTTCCCTGAAGGGAGAATCAGTATTCTACCTCCCTGTCAGGTCAACCAATCCATAAATATTGTTACTTAGGTACATGCTACAAAGATCAGGTATAATTAATGTTGTCCTTTTTCAGAGTTTTACAAGAAGCTGTAGCTCAAAGAAAACAGTTAAGCCTAAAGTAGTTGTACATCCAGAGACAGATGTAGCCAAAATGAACCCCAGTACAGATATTGCAAAGGGGAGAGTGGCTGACAGATTTCCTTTCAGGATACAGCTGGAGGCTGGGAAAAAATATTCCTGGTGTACATGTGGACATAGCCATTCACAGGTTTGTACAAAATCAGTAGTCAATCATGATTGGCATGGTAAAAATTTGAGAAAACTTGGGGTTTGGATAGGCTTAAAAACAGCTTCATGTATTTATAGAGAAGGTGGTGAGCTCAGTCATGTAACCAATGATTCAATATTTATTTTCTTATATTGGTCATTGATAGATGTGAAGAGTATATGTATATCTCAGAACTGTGCTGTCTTTCATACAAACTAGTTGATTATATCCATAATTGAGTCATCTACAACGATGCACAAAACTGGCATTTCCACTGATGACAAGAGTTTGCCATCTATACTTGTATCTTATTTCAGAATGTTCACCTTTCATTATCATATTCAGTAATATAAATAATACATGTGTCCTTTATGCTTTACAAATAACCACCTAAGAGTAAAAGTTCACCTTACTCAATAAAACTTGTCAATCTGGTTGGACTTATGGAGAAATGTTTGTTAATGAGCTGAAATGAACTGATTGCCTTTGTGAATAGCCTGTAGGGTCATTTTCAGGTGAAACATCTCCTTGTAGCAGCTGATGGTTTCCTTCCTGAGCAAATTGTAATATCTTATCCAGGGCAACTTAAGTAATAGTCTTACGCAATAACACATCCATGACAGTACGGGTCAACTTGTGGTCTTGGCCTTTTGAGAAAAACAAACTTTTAGGATGATTTACTTGTGCAGCCAAATCTGTCTATATAGTCCACACAAAGGAACTGGATATTGTGACCTTCATTTTGAGTTTCAATTACATATACAGATGTACTATGAATTGTATTACATTGTGAATCTATCAAGGGACCTTTATAGACAGGTTAATTTATCATGAACTTTATAACAGTGAACCAAACTGACCTTTATAGACAGGTTGGCTTAATGTGCGCACATCATCCAGGCATTTTGTGCATGTTGCACATTGCATAACATTGTGCAGTCCCACAACTAAACAATGAATTGTAGTACAGAAAACTGAACAACTGACTTTTATAGACAAGTGGCCCTTATATAGAAGTGGCCCTTTAGGCAGGTTTGATTGGTGTTAGAAACAAGCCATAAGTGATTTGAAACTAACCATTTGTGATGTTCCATTTTTTTCAGCCCTTTTGTGATGGGAACCATAAACGGAAAAGGGATGAGATGAATAGCCCACATCTGAAACCATTACGATTTAGTGTGGAGGAGACAAAAGAATACTGGTTGTGTCGCTGTAAGCAGACAGACAATCCACCATTCTGTGATGGTAGCCACAAAGAACCTAAAGTTGCTAATATTACGAGAATTAACCCCACAACATAGCACTTGTTTCCAAACTACATCAGACCTTGTGTATTGTGAGAGATATTCTGGAGTCATGTTATCATGTGATTTGCATTAAATATTTTGATTAATGGATTTTTCAGTGAATTCTTTTCATATTTGCATATTCATATGACAGGTACAATAAATATTTATATTCAAAGGGCTTAATATATGTGGTTTTTCAAAAAATTCTGATTTAGGGAATACCTGCTCTCATGAAAAGATATATCTCGATATACAGACTTATATTGATTTAACTAGACATGTCAGCAAGGGTCCAGCAATGTGGCTGGAAATTACGGAAACTTGGAGTAATAATAATCTGGACCACTGACATTAGGACCTGAAAAGCAATCCAAAGCAAGCCATTTTAATATTGATGCATTGTATGAGGTTTGACTTTGATTGACAAAAGCAAACTTGAGTTGAGATTTTTCTGTTTATAGTAATAGTGACATTGACCTTTGACCTTTGACCTTTAAAACTGTAAAGCAATCCATAGTAAACTCTTTCAGTAAGGAAGTACTTGCTGAAGTTTGTTTAGATTGCCCAAAGCAAACTAGTTTTCACATAGAAACTGATTGTTTATTTATAGTAACAGAGACTTTGACCTTTGGCCTTTAAAACTGTAAAGCAATCCATAGTAAACTCTTTCAGTAAGGAAGTACTTGCTGAAGTTTTAGCTTGATCAGCCCAAGGAAACTCAAGTTATTGCATGTAAACTAAAGTACTAAGGGACAGACAGATGGACAGACACCATGATTACTATAGGGCACCCACACTTTTGTGCAGGGTTTCGATAACACCCCACTATTTATTAAAGTAGTACTAAGAGGATTTCGATGTCATGAATATCAATATTCTGCTCTGAATTTCTTTTCATTAATTACATCCAGTCCAACATATTTTCTTTCTTGAGATCCCAATGATGATCTTCTTGTAATAGTTTGATACTGGTACAGGATTTTCAATGTGTTTTTATCATATTTTATGAAACAAGGTTAAGAAATTTTTATTTTTTACTTGCAAAGGTTCACAAAAATTTTAAGTCAAATTGTGGAGGACAAAATTAAACAGAGGCAGCCATTTTGAAGTTCCATTGGCAATTAGTGATGCCACGTCAGCTATACAATCCATATACAAGTTAATATAGTAGAAATATATGTAACACTTTATTGGTCAAGTTACAATGTATCTGTTCAACAACAGTATTTAAAACAAATGGACATTTTATTATTGTCAAAACTACATTTAAATGAGGAATTCTCTGTCAAATATGAGATCATTTGGTCTAGTATAGCTTCAAAAAATATGTTACATGACTTTGACAATATTTGAATGTCATGTAAATGCTACATGACAATTTCTGTAACGCCCTCAAATATCTAATTATTTTCCTCAAACAGTGGTTTGCTGATTTAAGCTTTTAGGTTAAAGAAATAGAAGGGATGCTGATGCTGGGCTGTTCAGTCCTACATTTGAATACAATACCAACTTTTCTTTCAAAAATATGTAAATGTAAATAAATAAAGTAAAAGTTGTGGAGTTTTGCTTTCCTTTTGTAGGATACTTAACATTTACATTGCAGCCACAGAGAGCTAATAAATTAATAAAGTAATGAAAAATATATTTCTTTGAAAAAGTAGTAAAAACTTGAGAATTTGACAAGTTTTCTTTCAATATGTCAATTTCATGATTTTTTGTTACTTTTTCAAATTAATATATTTCTGGAAAAGAATCTCATCATGTGTTAGTATGGTGGCAGTTCAACTTCTAAAATCAAAATTATTTGAACACAATTTCACTGGATAAGTCCCCTGTGATTGCAACATGTTTTATAAAACTCCACGCCCACTCCCAATACACATATGTCTTTATAGACAGTATAGTACATGTTTACATTGTCCATTACTATACATGAGTTCTTTCATGACAAAAAATATAATTTTGATAATATAAAGATCAGTGGAATCTGGTGGAATTTTACAGAATAGAAAATTGATATTTCAATATTAATTACATATTTTGCACCTTTTTAAAAAAAGTATTCAATATCAAGACTAATTAGTGATGCTTTGTAACCAGTAAATTGCAAGAATGTGCCAGTCAGAATCAATTTCATCCTATATGTTATTAGAAATATTATGGAATACACCAATCATAATCAGATAAAGTTGATGAAAATACTATTTAGAGCGGCTTAAAAATGGACCCAAGGACCACACAATTACTACTATCACAGAACATGGTATTGACAAAGTAGTAATGAAAACAAAACATGTTTGTTTACTCTTGACATCACCATTACCGCCACTCTAAATCTGTAATATACAACAAAGATATAAATTGTATAAGGAGTTGAGGATACAATCAGGCCTTCAAAAATACCAAACTGACTGAAATCTGTGATATGCATGGTTATTTTCACAGGGAACATATTGTCCTTATTTTTTGTAGTACATTGAAATGATTGCAAAAATTTATTTTGTGAAATAATTAAACACATGTGAAATTTTAATTCGTTAAAATATAATTAAATCATTTTGAAGCAAAATTGCCAAAATTTTGACCCATGAAAATTACCAGCTAATCAGTATAGTGTGGAATGTTTTGAAAGAAAATACTATTTTGATCTCACACATCTGTAGATGTCACACCTGTAGATCTTGCACACCTGTCGATGTCACACAGCTGTAGATCTCGCACACCTGTAGATGTCACACACCTGTAGATGTTGCCCACCTGTAGATGTCACCCACTTGTAGATCTCGCCCACCTGTAGATGTCATCCACCTGTAGATGTCACACACCTGTAGACCTCACACCTGTAGATGTCACACACCTGTAGATGTCACACACCTGTAGACCTCACACCTGTAGATGTCACACACCTGTAGATCTCGCCCACCTGTAGATATCACACACCTGTAGATGTCGCCTACCTGTAGATGTCACACACTTGTAGATCTCGCCCACCTGTAGATGTCACACACCTGTAGGCCTTGCACACCTGTAGATGTCACACACCTGTAGATCTCGCATACCTGTAGATGTCACACACCTGAAGATATCGCCCACCTGTAGATGTCACCCACTTGTAGATCTCGCCCACCTGTAGATGTCATACACCTGTAGATGTCATGTCACACACCTGTAGATGTCACACACCTGTATAGCCTTGCACACCTGTAAATGTCACACACCTGTAGATCTCACACACTTGTAACACATCTTGAGAGTGAAAAAAACCACATAATATACAATTTTTTGGCAAAATGTATAAATGAATATTCATATACATGTATGTTGCATTAATGTATCAAAAATAACATTATATGCACATAGATGACAGTATCATGTATATTTGTTTAAGAAGCTATATAACCCAGTATTACAATAATTACATCAAGAAAAACCAACAACAACAACTGGAAAATGGCATTCATAGGACTATGAAATTATCTAATTCTGTAGTTTGTATAGACAGTATTACCATACAATGGTATTTGCAAATATAGGAGTTTTACATCAGGTTTGAGGTGGCTGGCACTGTCATATATTGCTCTGTAATGAGATTCAGACCTGTACAGAAAAGGGTAACATTATTTGACATCTGGAAGTCCAATTTACAAACATTCTGACTTGTCCTATGGTGTAAACATTAAACAAAACAGCACCATTAAAGATAGAATGCTAATTAAGGTGAATAAGATTCCTTTAAAAAAACTTGTATAATCTTCATAACATTTAGTAGATTTAACAAGTTTGTTAGATACAATTGAAAAACCAGAATCTACATTTTTGTAATTGTGAAATAACAAATAGGTGTTACATACATTTTTCATTGTGAGTTTTCCTCATTTTAAAGATTACTTTACAGTGTGATATAAACAAGGACTGTTTATATATACACAAAAGTTCCTCGGAACTGTATGTGTTGCCTGCATAAAATGTCACGGTCACCCAGAAATTGAACTGGATGTGCAATGATCAACCATAACATTGTAATACCAAATTTCATTTCTATAACTTGAAGCATAAAGGGAAAACTGCGCAAAGCAATATTGAAAGGAAATTTTCTAAGTTGAAAGGGGCATAACTCTGCCAAAAAGGGTCACAGACAGCCGAGAATCAAACTTAATCTGTACCCTTGCAACAAAAAGCCATATGCCAAATTTCATTTTGATAACTCAAAGCATTAATGAAAAAAGTCTGGAAAGCTTTCGTACGGAAGACGCCATCCCTAAGTGTCTGCCAGCTCTGCAGAGGACTCAATAAAATCTACTAACCATAAATGTGACTATAACTATCAACATGAGCCAATCAATAAAATACTTTTACATGTCTGTCAACAAATTCATACAGCATTATTCATGAATTGATCTGCTCATCTTCAAATGTTAACGTTTTCTTGTCTTTGTTTTAAGATACTTTACTTTTTACATATGTAGTAAAACACAGAGGCAATATACATCTTCAATTACTTGATTGTGATGTGAAATCAATTTACAGTACAAAATAGCTCCTATTAAAACAACACTATTGCCTTTCTACATATAGAATGTACTACTTGTACAACTTTTAGATTGCATTACAACCTACATGTATTTGAAGTGTTACCCAAGGTTTGTTTTCTGCATATTGAGGTACATTCAGGAATGTATTACCTGGATTCAGATCTTGAGAATGTGATCCCTGAATCATCAGCTTTATTCAGTAATAAACCTTCCAGTGTCTCTTGAAGTTCATCTTTCAAAATTTAGTACTAGTTCATGTTTTAGCCCCCAGGATTATTACAGGACTGTAATCAAGCATCACTATACATGTATACAGGTTCTATATCATGAAAATGCATTGAACATGTATACTTCATCAACAAAAGAAAGACAAATGGGTATTTCACGAACATATCAACATCACATCTCTCTTGGTATGATAAAACCTCTAGTGATATGAAAAGTTATTGCTTTAGCAGACGTAACAAATAGATATATTTTGTAGCATGTAAATTACTGTTTATAGCCCACTATCATCATAGTGTGGGCTATTCAAATCACCCTATGTCTGTGGTCTGTCCGTCCGTAAACAATTTCTGTTATTGCTAGTACTGGATGAATCTTCCTCAAATTTCATGTATAGGCTCCCCTTTGTCCCTAGATCTTTCTCAAATTACTTGTTTCCCTTGATCCCTAGTTATGCCAGTTTGATTTTGGTACTGATCAGAAAAAGAAAAAGTCAAGACAGGCGGCCAGCTTTGATTTTGGCCTTAAAGTTTGTTATCGCTACCTAGATCTTTCTCAAATTTCATGCATAGGTTCCTCCTGGTCCCTAGTTGTACCTGTATGAGTTTTGGATTGATCAGAAAAACAGCCATCTTGGATTTCACCTAGTAATGATTGTTATCTCTATTTCTTAAGAATACTGAATTAATGTCTCTCAAATTTCATATGTATGTTCCATTTGGTCTCTTCTTGTTCCCACTTGATTTTGGGACTGATCAGAAGAAATGAAATGGCTTCAAGACGACCATTATGAATATGGCAGGTAAAGATTATCATCTCTATTTCTGCTAAAAAATGCTCAAATTTCTTATCATCAAGAGCAAAAACAGAGGGGAGAAGAGAAAAGATCCATCTTTTAAAGAGCAAATAAAGTTCAAACAATGGTGGGTGCAAAGATGTCTCTGGGATCTCCTGTTATATCATCAACTAACAAATTAGATCTGACTCCTTGATCATTTATGGTCAAAAGAACAGATTTGTCGTGTAGTAGAGAGCCATTGAGATAGATAGTGAGTATATTTGTTGTGTAGTAGACAGCCATTGAGATAGATAGTGAGTATATTTGTTGTGTAGTAGACAGCCATTGAGATAGATAGTGAGTATATTTGTTGTGTAGTGGAGAGCCATTGAGATAGATAGTGAGTATATTTGTTGTGTAGTAGACAGCCATTGAGATAGATAGTGAGTATATTTGTTGTGTAGTGGAGAGCCATTGAGATAGATAGTGAGTATATTTGTTGTGTAGTAGACAGCCATTGAGATAGATAGTGAGTATATTTTTTGTGTAGTAGACAGCCATTGAGATAGATAGTGAGTATATTTGTTGTGTAGTGGAGAGCCATTGAGATAGATAGTGAGTATATTTGTTGTGTAGTGGACAGCCATTGAGATAGATAGTGAGTATATTTGTTGTGTAGTGGAGAGCCATTGAGATAGATAGTGAGTATATTTGTTGTGTAGTGGAGAGCCATTGAGATAGATAGTGAGTATATTTGTTGTGTAGTAGACAGCCATTGAGATATAAAGTGAGTATATTTGTTGTGTAGTAGACAGCCATTGAGATAGATAGTGAGTATATTTGTTGTGTAGTGGAGAGCCATTGAGATAGATAGTGAGTATATTTGTTGTGTAGTAGACAGCCATTGAGATAGATAGTGAGTATATTTTTTGTGTAGTAGACAGCCATTGAGATAGATAGTGAGTATATTTTTTGTGTAGTAGACAGCCATTGAGATAGATAGTGAGTATATTTGTTGTGTAGTGGAGAGCCATTGAGATAGATAGTGAGTATATTTGTTGTGTAGAAGACAGCCATTGAGATAGATCTCATGTATATTCATCATCATTTGTAGCCAGTGGTCTGTATGACATTGAAGTTCGTCGTTTCCTGTAAAGTAGGATGATTAAAGCTGTCACCACCATGACTAACAAAGCCACCAAACAGCTTAGTACCACCACTCCAACATGTACATCTGAAAAACACAAAACCTCACATTCATAAACTGCATTTATGCTACCATGGGCTCGTTATTGGTAAAAATATAGATAACTAAATCTTTACGTTTCTGCTGCACTTCCACTCAATCAGACTCTACAGATGCCTAATAAGTACTATTGCGTGGCAGGAAACCGATAGCTGATAAAACATGATGACTATAATGATAATGAGGTTCTGATCATTTCATCAAATGGATTTTAAACTACCTGATGTTTGTTGTAGCACAGAGTTACATTCAGCATGAATATCCTTGGATACATTATTCTTTAAGATGTTGATAAAATGCTCTAATGTGCAGACTTTCCCACAACCTGTGAAAGAAAAAATGAATAAATAAACAAACAATATTTCTCTAATAAACTACTGAAAAGTGTTGCATTACCTCCCACACCAAGATGTTAGTGTAAAACTCATATATAATATTTATATACTGGTATAACAATTTGTGATGTCACTCAATTATGTACCGCTACTATCACTTGAAGATCTAATATAGTAAAATTCTAGGTTATCTGAGAGATGTTGTGTATTATAGACTATGACTTACCATTTTAATCTTTTGTGATAACATAACCATTTAAGATTTTTAGCGTTTGTCTTTCATCTTTTAGTTTGTCTGATGTTATTTCCTTTTTGGATCGCTGTGTGTTTTACCGTTTGATCGCCCAAATGACCTTTTATGTGTTGTTGGGCTGTTAAGAATGTGATAATGATAATAATAATAATACTTTTATGCATCTGTTTACTTTTGGCAATCATTACCTGGTATATGAAGTACTGTTAGATTGTTGGAGTTAGTCTCGTTTTTGTAGAGCACATTAACGTATGGGTTGCCCTGGCCTTTTGGTTTCCACAGCTCAACCATGACACATGAAGAATACACAGGCGTCCTGCTGTTGAATACGTTCATTACTCGTAGCAAAGTTACCAGTGTTGTGTCGTGCTTTAACATTAGAAAATCCTAATAAGCATGTGGCAGGTTTCTCTCTGATGGCAATTAAAGAAACGGAAATTACATATTGTACTTAGGAAATATTGGCTCCATCAATGTATCAATACTAATTATGATTAATTGTACATGTAATGGTATGGAATATTAACACTTCACCACCTGAGTGACTAAAGATTTTTGTCTCAAGGATGGTTATCACAAGCTCAGTAATTAGCTAACTGCAACCTTGATTATGTTTGTAAAAACACATGAGTCTTAACCACACTACATCTCACATTATGATGTCCTAAGTCCTTACCACACTTTACATCATACACTATGATGTCCTAACCACACACAACATCATACACTATGATGTCTTAACCACCCACTGAGGTTTTAAAGTGTGTTTTTAAGTATATTCCAACTAAAGTAATGATGTCAGTACCTTCGTGTTGCTTTGATATCGGGTATGGATATCAGTACCTTAGCGTTGCTTTGATATCAGGTATGGATGTCAGAACCTTAGCGTTGCTTTGATATCGGGTATGGATGTCAGAACCTTAGCGTTGCTTTGATATCGGGTATGGATGTCAGTACCTTAGTGTGCTTTGATATCGGGTATGGATGTCAGTACATTAGCATTGCTTTGATATGGGGTATGGATGTCAGTACATTAGCGTTGCTTTGATATCAGGTATGGATGTCAGTACCTTAGCGTTGCTTTGATATCGGGTATGGATGTCAGTACCTTAGTATTGCTTTGATATCGGGTATGGATGTCAGTACCTTAGTATTGCTTTGATATCGGGTATGGATGACAAACTAATACTTACAGCTGAATACAGATACATTTTTGGAGACGGTTCAGCTACAGGATTTAGAGCTGTCTTCATTTTTCCAATTAATTCCGCTAACAATGGACCTATTAAATATACCTAATAATTACAACATTATACCTTAATTAATTTAAAACTTAATGAAATTTCGTTTTCATTCTTTAAGATAATCAGTTTATTATTTACAAAAAATTTTGTCATACTTATCAATAATTTTGTAAGAAAATTGAAAACATTAACTATTAATAACTCATATTTACAGCTGATAAATCAAAAGCTGTTTTTGTAGATCTAGTTTAATTGAATTTTATAGAAAATTTTAACATATGTACAGTTTTAAAATACATATTTCAAGTTATCTGATGACCACATTTCCATTTGGTTTCTGTATTTATCAATACAGATCATAATAGTTTGTATTCTCATTCCAACAGACAGTTACAGAGTATGAGATAAATAATGTTGATATACAGTATAATGCATTCTCATTCTGGAGATGCAAAATCATAATATTTCTATGTTGTATAAGTAAGAATTCCTGAAAAATATAAGTATCTTAGGCTTGTCATGAATTTCCATCATGAACCATTTACCTCCCCTTAATTTGGCCATCTCGTCTGTGTGAAATCTGTAGGAATTCTGATAATCCAACAGTTGAATCAACAAGGGATGAAACGGTAGGACTGTCTTCCATTCCGACATATTCAGTCCATGAGTATACTGAAACCAAATTACACAATGTAGCATACCATGATACATACATTGTCATATCTATCTGACAAGGAGCCTTTGCTTGGTTATAAGCCCACCATTGCAGTTTTAGCTTCAAAACCAATGGATAACATAAGCCATTGTCATGTAATAAGCCTACCCCTTGATTTTGAGTTAGAGAGATTATGTTTTAGCTACATGGGGTTACTGCAGGGAAAACACTGTAAATTCAATTTTTGTGCTAAACTGAACTTTTCCTTGTCAGATTTATGATTTGAAAGTAATTTCATACAGTATAATATCATATGTAGTTTAGTTTATTTTCATTTTGAGTAAATATGTATTTGCACTAAAATATTGTACATTAATAAGAGTATTTTTTCCAATATGATTTTTTTTCTGATGTTCAAAAGATTTGTAAAATTGTATTTGTACTTCATAATAACTGTATTATTGTTGATATTCACCGTTTTTAAAATGTTGACTTCAAAAAATGAACTTAAAAAAACACTTTATTCTATAAAACATCAATGCCTAAATTCCTATACAAACCAGAATCTGACCAAGTGCAGACTTGGCGTTATGATAATATGAGGTAAATATACTAAACAAAAAAAGGAAATGCACAAAGTTACCCCACTGCAGTACACCTTAGCTGTAAGGAAATAATGGAATATTTGGTCATGTATTACATCAAGAATGATCTCCCTTCTTGAAAATTTACCCTAAAATCAGTCAAGCGTGATGATGTCATTGTCTGACTTTGTAAGCTTCTTTAGACAACATCACACTGCGTGATAAGCTGAGCCAGATTTGATCAACGGATACTCTAAGTTCAGCCACATTAAATTTCCACTTCCGCATTTTGGTTTCACCAATGACCGAGATGCAATGCTTAACACAAATTCAGAAGGGTAGAACAATTGTGAAGATGATGGATGGTCATAGCCAAACTGCTGTCGCACTGCAGTTTGGTGTTGCCTAGTGCACAATTAACGGTCTCTATAAACGTTTCCAAGCTACTGGGTAAGTTTCTGATCCTCCCAGAGGCAGTTGTCCATGTGTAATGACCGCATAACAAAATAGGCTGATTCAATTGTCACACTTGCGCACCATCTTCAAGACTGCTTTGCATACCTCAGGTACTCATGGCAGACCCAATGGTTCTCAAATTGCTAGGAACTGCTTGCATGTCAAGAGAATTATTGTGTGCCAACCGTACGTTGGGTAACCTCCGACACCACAAAGGCAGCAAGTTAATCTTCACAAGATGTGCAGATATGGCCCGAATAGGTTTGGGATGCATCCATGTGATGTTAACCAACCAGTCTAGATTCTGTCTGTACTGCTCAGGCAGAAGAAAAAGGATATATTGCAGATGCGGTGAGCATTTAATTATCATATGCATGATAGATTCAGTGGGGCTTCTGTAATGATTTGGGGAGGCATTTCCTATGGAGTAAAATCCCCCTTGGTGGTCCTGGATTAAAACCCAATGCCGTTCGATACAAAGACCAGATCCTCCTACCACATGTCCTTCCACATCTCAGACATTTTAACCTAACTTTCCAGCAAGACAATGCTCGACCACATGTTTTGTTTTCGTGGGTATCCCACTTTGAGTAACTACTGTCAATTCGAGTGACGTTACAGACTTTTCTTCTACAACATTGTATAGAGTAGACTTGTCCCTTCCGTTAATATAAAATTTTGAACAAATTTCCCAAAATATCATAGGCTATTGCCTACATAATTTAACTGTGCGTTTCCTTTTTTGTTGAGTATATAAAGCATATCTGCAGAGAGACCCTGAAGATATGTCAGTCTGATTCAGAGACCAGACAGACGTAATGGCTTTACGCATCTCCATTATCTCCATTCCTATATTTCTAGTCATAATTATAATGACAATAATATTCACCTCATACTTTGGAATTGAGTCATAGTTTGGAATTACCTCCCTGGAATAGTGATTATTTTATTTAAACCTATTTTATTTGTTCAATACAACAAATGGGATTAAGTACAAGTTCACACAACTTAGAAACGCCTTCTCCCAAAAATTACATTTCACATAGATCTAACATATCTACAATAATATACACTTTAATCAAATTTGATTTCCTACAAGTATATATTTTAGAAGAAATAAAAACAGAAAAGAAATTGAATAAAGCAAGCACAGAAGTAAGGAAGCAAAATAAACAGAGATGTGTATTACTAAGTTGAAGACATTTACAGATGACCTTAAAACCTATCACTGGTTTAAATAAAAGTATAAATGGATTGGAATATATTTGTATTTTGCTCATCCGACAGATTTTAAGAAACAACAGATAAGAACATTAATTGTGATGCTACAATGACGGGAAATTTATCAAATAAAATTTCGTGTAGCCTTAAATATAATACCATATATATCCAATTAAAAAAATAATGCACAACATTTTCACATTCATTACCACATTCTTGTACTGGAGCATTAATATTATTAACTCTGAACAAACATTCTTTTTGTTAAGCTACTGCAAGCATGTTGCAACTTTGCATGTAAAACAATTTTCTATTTCCAAAAACTTAATAAATAGGTAATAAATCAGGGTTGTATTGAATTTTAGATTTTAAACAGTTGATGGATGGCTGCTTTCTGACGTTGTGATTTATTCCACAATCTGACAGAAGGTGGAATAAAAGATTGGACAATTGCAATAATTAGGAACAAATAGTTTTCATTATTTCTAACGTTGTACAGATTACGCTCTGCCACTCTTGAAGGAAGAAGATTGTGTAAACAGGATGGAGTTACATTACGATGAAATTTACACATAAGTGAAAGTTTTTAAAGTGTCATTATTTCTGATAATGGTTGTCATTGGGAATATTTCCATAAGGATTGTAATTAAAGATATAGGTACATCGTGTGAGGTCAATTATCGTTAATTAGTGGTCGTTGGGAATGTAGGAAGTGGTTGTAATACGGAATAGCGGGGTGGTCGTAATACTGAAACGATCAATACAATGATAGTGGAATAAAATGGGACTGAAAGAAAGTGCCTGTAATAGCGGGGTGGTCGTAATTTTGAGGTGGTCGTTAGGTGAGGTTTCACTGTACTTGAAAACAACTCTTTCCAAAATTTTACCGACACAGGATAATAAAATAATTGGTCAATAATTGAACACCAAATGTCTGTCCCTTTTTTAAATAAAGATAGAACAATTCCCTTTTTCCAACTTTCAGGGAAAACCTTGTGGTTTCATGAATTACTAAAAAGAATTGACAAGATTTTACATATAAAACTTGCTAAGGATTTTAATATGATGACTTAAAGTATCATGACCTGATGCTTTTCCTAATTTTAAAATGTTAAAAATACCACAAACATCATCAAATCTGACAAAAAGAGAGTCAAGGAAAGAAGGAGTTCTTTCATTAAGAATGAGTAATGGAATGATCTGATTATCTATATATGAAAAAGAACAAAAATAACTATTCAATATATTAGACCTTTCGCATCACAAAGATCAACATTTCTATTATTAGAATTTACTGGAATGAGTTCTTGTGATCCAGACAGCTTACTAGTATCAAGTTTGTCATGATTTCATGTTTTTAACCTTGTTTCTTTGGGTTTATTTTTTTATATTTTCGAGTTTGGGAATGGACTCATTATGTTTAAATTTTGTGTGATAAAGTCCAGTTCCAACATAAATTGATATAAAATATGATTAGGCGATATCTATTGATATCTCCAACAATTATTGCATTAGATGTGATTTCTAAAGCTTTATCAACTGAATATCTAAAATTTTCCCAAAATGGAAGACCTGAAATTTCTGGTCAGTACACAATGAAATAATGACAAGCTATTTTGACTGGTATCCAAATAATTTCTCTTATTCTCAAAAAGGAGTCAGAGTAAACAGATATTCCAGAGAAATTTCTTTCTTTCCTAAAGGGTTCAGTAAAACCTGGTATATTTCATTCAGATGAGGAAACAAAATGATTTAAATATATATTTCAGTTAAGCACAAAATATGGAATTAATTTTTGATATTTTTAATATCACCAATTTGTAAAAGTTGTAATGTTTAGTTAGTGATTTATAAGCCATTCAACTCTGCCAGCACAGTAAAGGCTTAGCCATTCAACTCTGCCAGCACAGTAAAGGCTTAGCCATTCAACTCTGCCAGCACAGTAAAGGCTTAGCCATTCAACTCTGCCAGCACAGTAAAGGCTTAGCCATTCAACTCTGCCAGCACAGTAAAGGCTTAGCCATTCAACTCTGCCAGCACAGTAAAGGCTTAGCCATTCAACTCTGCCAGCACAGTAAAGGCTTGTTTAATCATATTTCATTTCAGTTATTTATTAACCCAGTAGATTTTATTATATGTAATATTGAAAAAAAAATTGTGTTGCAGGTATGCATATTTGTAAATATGAAAAAGTGAATACATTTTTATTAGATTTTAGCAGTATACATAATTTTTTCACAATGTTGTAATACATATTGTAATCTTAAATATATTATATGGTACGTGTACTCATAAATACACACCCATCAATAAATATGCCTTGAACATGGCAGCTACATTTGTATAATAAACAACAGTATGTGTAGAACAGATACACATCTCAGATTCTGTAGAACTAAGCTACATGTATAGGTTTTTACAAAAAAAAAATCATTTTATAAGTAGATAGCTGGATGCCTAAGATGTTAGCAATGTATGCAATTAATTTCCATGTCAGTAAGGTTTAAGGACCAGTATTGAATATTAACAAATCCTGTTGGAATCATATTTTATTCATGATGAATGCTACTATGATTTAAATTAGAGTTAACACACAGACAACATGATGCATGTTTTTGTTTTTTGTACAAATTTCATAAACAAAGCAGCCAAGTCATTTTAGAACACTTTGGTAAGACTAAAGTCCAGGCATTCAATATCATGGTAACAATTTATTCAAATTTTGTTCAAACTTACATGCACTTTGACAAAACTTTTACAAAATAGTTGACGTGCACAACAGTGCAGTGGTAAGTGTGCAAGTGTTTAAATTCCTAAGAAATATACCCAAACATCATGTCGCTAAAACATTGAAGTTCGTTGGTGAGACAGTGCCTAGTAATAGGAAGGGTCACAGAGACAGAAAACTTGTAACCAACCAACTACACAAACTTGACATTTTATCAGATCTTTCATCATACTTGTCTTAAGTTGAATAGTTGAATACAGGTAAGCATATCCCTGAATGTTTATAAAAATCCATAAAACATCTGCCATCTTTAAGTGGTGACAGGGAGTGTGCCACACAGGCAGGGCAAATCATACAGACCTGGAAAAACCTGATGGGTAAAACTATACAGACAAGGTAAAACCATGTAGTCTGGGCAGTCAAGCCATAAATATTGACCAAAACCGTACAAGCATGACAAGATCATATAGGTGGGCAAAAAGACTGGGTCAAGGAGAATAGATACCAACCTCGCAGAAGAGAGGATCCACAAGTGTCATCAGGCCAATCAGAGTTGGTGGAAGTCCAGACAGTTTTGCAGCTTTGTTGATTAGGTCCTGTTGGAAAGAAAAGTAATTTTACTTTAGAAATATGAGCAAACAAAAACTTTGTGTAAAAAAGTACATAAAATACTTATTCATAAAATAAACTCTTAAAAACTGAGTATATCAGTTGTATAAGTCCATCCAACTGGTAGATACCAAATTAATACTAAATTTATCCAAGTGAGTAGCAATATTCATGTCCAATAAAGAAAAGAGAAAATCAAAGTCTTTGCCATCATGAGATGACCTACTTTTCATAAGCTGAATTATAGATGATATATGATTTGTGGTATCTTTTAACTAATAGCAATAAGGTCTTTATACTGTGTAGCAGGACACAGGAGTCCGTCTCAACTGCTTTCTGCCCTTTCAAGAGGAAGTCCCACTAAAAATTTGGAAATTGTAGACTTCAAGTTACTAAATATGAGAGACTATGTAGCATATTTTTAAATGTCTGAATTAAATTTACTTACCTGGTATCGTGCTGTGAATTTGGCTATAAAGTCACTTGCCAAAAATTTGGCAAATAGTTCATCATATCTTGGACATGGAGCATCTGCATTTAACAACTGTGGAAATGACATCAACAACACAAAATCACAGCAGGTAAGGTAGAACCATCTTTTCTGTGTTAAGTTGGAACATATATGTAATGCTGCAGGAATATTTTTATTTTTTTTTTCTTAAAAGTACAGTAAAGTTGTGATTTTTTGGAGGATTTCAATTTTATTTTCCTAATAAAAAATAGCTAAAAATAGAGTAATTTTACATTTAAAAACATATAGAGAAAATTATGGACTATTTCTTTTGAGTGATCTTATAATAAAGCAGTGAAATTGAACCATTTGAATATGCATGTATTTGTATTTCAGTAACCAAAATGAAAACACCATCTGTAATTCACAGAATAATATCAAACATCTGAAAAGAAAATACCTCATGTAATCAAATCACTGATTTGTTTTGCTGGGTGGCACAGAGGAAATCAATTCACCTTTTATCCAGGCATTCTAGGTTTGACTTCCTGAACAAACCTGAAACGTATGGGGGTCACCTGTCAAATCACACAGGTTAATTTTCCCCAGGACCCCAATTACTCTGGTTCTTCCTGCAGTAAGTGCCTTTGCACACTGCCATCCAAGCCAATAAGAGTGATTAGTATAAGTTGGAATAACTTGTTTGACAATTTTTGTAAAATCTATTAAGTTTAATTTCAGTAAAATAACTTTCAATTTTTCAAAATTTGATTAGAATTATAACATATATGAAAGCTTACATGGTCTTCTGTCAGTGGTTCTGTATGGACGGGAATTGGCTGCCAATTAAGACCTGGGTTCCACTGTTCTTCTGAACCATTGATGGGAGGATACATGCCAGCTAAGATGCAGTAGGCACTCATTAGTGTACGGTCTTTATCTGTACTTCTGATATAGATCTAAAATGCAAGAAAATGATATTCCATTCATGAACATGTACCTTACCATAGCTTCTTTTTAAGTATGCCTCGTTATTCCCAGACAGGAAGATCAGTTTACCCTAGAGAGTATGTTTTTGACTTCCACAAAATGAGCTTAGACTTTTTGAGCTGGAAATGAGGCCAAGTCTATTTCTCATATACTTTATTTGACCCCTCAGTTTTATGAGTTGACTTTCGAAATTGCAAAATATAAAGGAACAAGTGAGATACATGTTATGGTGTGTCGTTTGGACAATTTTTTTTATATGTAATTGTTCACTACTATAAACTTTTTCCCTTTTTCCTCATACTCAGTATGAATTCAACAGTCTTTGGTATTTGTTTACACTGTTTAGTTAAGAAGATGCTTTTTCCCCAGATAATGATGACATCTCTCAGTAACAGTAAACTCACATTCACATTCTTATTTACCTCTGAACGATTGTAATTCACACTCATAAAAGTGTTTTGATCCATGTATTTTTGTCTGAAAAACTTTCCAAGTCTATATTCCTGGTACATTCCTCTCTGAAAAAGCACGAAAAATCATAATAAATGTGATGCAGAATTTTCTATACAACGGCCACAGCTGGTTAAAACATTTAGATTTGGGATGGCAGTTACTTGTATCACGATTCATTATCATTTTTTGTAGTTGCCCATGAAAAGCCAACGGAATCATCTTGTACATGTAGAAGATGGTGTTACCTCACTGAACACGATATGGGAGGTGTGTTACATGCTATCTTGATCCAGAACAACTTTATTTGGTACCATGAAACATTGAAATAAAGTTACTTGGTCACATGGCCACTGTAACACCAGAGTGTTAATGTTACTAAGCAACAGGGCCATTTAACAACATAGTATTAATGTTACTATGCTACAGGGCCTCTGTAACACCATGGTGTTGATGTTACTATGCCACAATGCCTCTTTAACACCATATTGTAAGTGTTACTAGACACAGGGCCATTGTAACACCACAGTGTTACTGTGACTAAGTCAATGGGCCTTTGCAACACCATATTGTAAGTGTAAACTTCCTCACAAACACAACTCATCCTATATCTGTCAGTGGATACAAGAGTAAATATGACTACAATGCAGAAAGACATCAAATTTTCATGGGAGATTTATTTTAAATGATTTCATGATTTTAATCCACAAATGTCTATGTCTATGTATTGTTAGAATAAGTATAAGTAGATTGATTAAAAAAACCCACCAAAACCAAGACTCAAGTAAAGATATGATTTTACAGTTCTGTATAGGATAAAAGTCCAATGGATCCATCTGCATAGCCCACTTGACTAATTAATCCTATATGATTATGGAAGTAAACTCCATCATTTTATCAGACTTTACAAGTCAAGACAAACACAAAGCTTCTCAAATTAATTAACAAAGTGATTCCTGATAATGACCAGCTCATGCTACCATAATTCAGGGTCTACCAAGTGTGGAAAATGCAAAGTCAGACCAGGGTTCAAACCCAAGACCCTTCATTGTCTAGAAGGATATTCTACAAATTGAGCTACCTGGTCAGTGTCAATCGACCCAAGCAGTCCAGTTCCACTGCATTCTCCCCTCATTTTTCTTATTCTTCACCCCCGAACACAACAATTTACAATCCAGGTTCAGGTATCCCCTTGTCAAGGATTTGCCTACTTGAAACTAAGTTTAGTCACAGGCACCAGTTTGTAAGAGGAATGAAAAAGTGCATAGCCAGACTGGAGTTTGAAACCTGGACCCTCTACACTCTTGATAGATGCTCTGTCAATTGAACTACATGTATCTGGTTGTCAACAATCAACTCAGTCCAGTTCTGCTACACAAAGACAGCATTGAAGACATGGGTGTTACCTTTGTTAGCTGTCCAAGACCTTGTGTCCAATAATCACTGTGTCTGTCATTTGGGTAGGAGCGAGTAGGGCTTCGGTCTCCATGACGGAAAACCTTAAAATGAATCAAAACATTTCTGATAAAGGGTTGTATAACTTTGTAGAAGCTGTTTGTATATATATACTATGCCTATAGTATAGTGTCTGACTTTCGAAACTTATCAGCGGTGAAATGCCTCTGCAGTGTCATAATTAAAGCTAATTACATGTACATATATATATTTTCCTTTTAAATAAAAATAACATAATTATGAAAATTATCACAAAAGTTAGACAGCCATGTGAAAATGACTAATTTTGCTAGTATCATTATTCATATAAAAGATTTTCTACATATCTTGAAAGAAAGGTTAACCGCATTTATCTGTCAATGAGCCCATGTCCATATAAACAAAATGTAAAAATTACTAATTATACTGTTTCATTTTCCAGACATTAACTTTATTTTGTTCACCACAGCAAAAAGCAGGAAGATTCTCAATATCTGGTGATATTTTGATTCCTTATAAAAAATAAACACTGGAATATAACGTATTTTAACCGTTTGTTTGGAAAAAAAAAGCAAAATTTATATAATTTGCAAAATATTAAATGTATTTCTGTTTCATCTGATGGGTAGATTTATGAAAACAAGTGAATCATTCAGCTTTAATTTAGTCTGATCGGACATGAGTTTTAATTTCTTGATAGGCCGCCAGTTTCCATTTATACAATGTACCGGCAGCACTTTGACAAGAAGGGTCAGTTGATCAGGGTTGTTCATGTATGGAATAATCTTATGTTGCTTCCTGGTGAGCGTCGACCACATGCAATTAAGTTCACAGGTGTAATTGTATATACTATTGTTTTACCATCAAGGTAAGTACAGTTCTCGATATACCAGGGGTTACAATCACTTTTGCTCTCTGCACTCCTGGACGTCATGGCAAATTTGAAAGTTCCTTGTGCGATACCTTGTGGACAAGAAGAAACGGTGTCAGGAATTTTCGCACCGAAGAATTTTCGTCCGAGGGGAATTTTCGTAGCACTATGGATATATATAGATAGGGTGTCAACAACCAATCATAACACCCTCCGCTGTGTTGATAATGAAAATTTGATGTTTTAGAAGTTTATACAATGATTTGACTGGTTTTTACCCTAGAACTGGTACGCGTCTGTTATTACCTGACAGGCGTGTCGCCTGACACCTGTCACCATTGTTTTTTTCAAGCCACAGAGGTGCTAATTACCTAGCCTGGCACAGGTGTGGTTTTGAGTTTAGATGGCATCTCTACACTGTGAACTTTTTGTAAAAAAATGACTGGTGATCTTATTGTTATGTTTACAATCGCAAAATTAATAACAAAACAGCACATTGATCATGTCAGGGACGTATATATCACATATATATACATCCCTGATCATGTTAACAATCTTTAATTATTAACTAAAACAACATCGTCTGCTGGAAGGTCTAAAAACTATCTACACCTTATACACACATAACCTATTCTATAAATTCTAATAATTCTATTCTATACTATATAATAGTAGTAAGAAAATTCTCAGGACGAAAATACCCGAGACGAAAATTCTTCGGTACGAAAATTCCCGAGACCGACGAAACATCAAACGAATCTCGAGGTCGCCTAACGATATTATTGCAATGGCTTTGAAGTTGAGTGTGACTTTTTTTGTAATCTTCGAAATGAGCCTATCAGCCTGTAATCGGTCAGTTCTTTTCTCCTTGAACCAATCAAATTACTTCGCTTGTACCTTCAATTTTGCCATGACATGTCCTAGGGGTGCAAAGACTGACAGAGAGCGAAAGTGAGTATCGAAGATAGGTCATTAGACAAGATGCATAGTATGTTATGACATGTATGCTCACCGCTTGAACTAAAACTAAATCATTTCCATTTGCAAGATTTATCTGAAGTATAATCAACGTCAGCAGGGACTGCAAAGTCCCACTCCGTAGAACAGAGTCTTTGATGTAAATTAACGCCATCAGTAACCCGGAAAAAAAATCTCCGTCTAAATTCGCTGTCACTGAAACGCTTGGCTGTCATGACTGATTAACAGTCCGACCGACAAACTAAGTCCGGACGGATGTTGTTGAACGACGTCCATCACTCCAGATCACATACAACTTCATTATAAGTCGACCAGGCCCCGATACTTCAAAGACTGGTTAGAAATAAAAAGAGAAAAAGAAAAACTCAAACATGAATTAAACAAAATTGGAAAAATTATTATAATTTTACAGCTGTAGGTTTGTCGAAACAATGCAGACTGGTATATTTTCTCTATTTAACTCTAACTACATGTAACTTTTGAACAACCTGGATATGGCCCTGGTTGCTCAAATGTTAGTTAGAGTTAACCAGTGTTTAGTGTTAAGGTAAGTTGTTGCCTATCTTAACCGTAAAGCCTACAGCAGCCATGACAATTAATGTTCTCAATTTTGTTTAATTCATACTTGAAAATTGGCACTAACCGCGATCTCTAACCAGTCTTTCAGCAACCGTGTAAAATGTCAAAGGAAATTCAGTCTATCGTTTAGCATGTCATCATTGATTTTGATTTTATTTTTCCTCTGAAAGTAGACTGAAGTTGGTGACAAGCATACATGTATATAATGCCTTGTTTTGAGGCTGGCACTGTTTTAATCAGAGACGTATATACGTCTCTGGTTTCAATATTGTGAGTTTATTTTTTGTTTTGTTTTGTTTTTTTTGTTTTTTAATTGATGTGTGTATATGCATGTTTAGACGTTATATGTACGAGTCGTTATGTCTTTTATCTACTTGCGCAATATTGATCGGCCTCAGGTAACATCCTATTCATTGGGTTCGTTCACTATTTAGTCACTTATTCCATAAAAAGGCAAACATTGGCAAGAATTGAAGGACGTAATAGCGGCGAAACTTTTATTTGAAACTTCTCAAAGTTTCATAAAACATTTGGAACATTTTTAGTGATAGTATATGAGTGTGTAGACTGAAAAGCGAAATAACACAAACAAGATACATGTATATGTATCTGATGCATGAAGACACCTGTCGTGAGATTAGGATCGAAACCTTTCCAACAGATGACGAATTCGGATTTTACAATATCGATGTAACAGCAGCTGAAAAATGCGCAGCCAGACCGAGATTCGAATTATATATTATGTCCATATGTTCGAACCCAGGACCTTCCGAAATCTAGCCGAATGCTCTACCACTGAGCTAACCGGTCGCCCACGATCGACCCCGCCCAGTTCCGCTACATAGTTACAAACTGCGTGGTGATGTTTAGAAACCCAACTTCAGTAAGCTATATGAGGGTCACACTGGGTCAGATTTTATACAGTAAAATGTAGCATGAAAACAGAGTTTAAGCATGTATCTATATACAGAAGTATACACACATAAAGAAACTCACGATTATATCTTATAAATACATTTGTTATTCTAAATTTGACGGCAAAGTGATATCCCTAGCCCGTCCTTAATTTCCCAAACACAGATCCGATTTTATTGTCTCTATGTATTAAATAACGAAATCAGAAGAAAACACAGGTTAAATAGAAATGCTGAAAATGACAAAAGTCAATCGCACAAGTATAATCGCCATTACTTCATTTTACCACGTAAATCTTACCAAAAACTAAATCATACTCACTCTGCTATTCAGAGTGCAGGGGCTCGGTTTTTCCGTAATGTATGACACCAGTTGATAACCACAGTTATAAGTTCAGCATTAATTTTGGGTATCTATGTATAAATGTTTTTATAAGGTTTCACAGTGTGTATATACTCGGCCCCATTGGCTGTCAAGCTGAGCATGAAACAAAGGGCAGTAACCCTGGGAGATCAGAATGGAGTGTGATAAATGTTGAATCGTAAGAGTTCAGAAAGTGTATAATACTGGATTAATAGTGTTGTGTTTATTTACTGAAATCCCCTCCCCCACCATGGTAAAGTGAAGCCACTTTATATTTTGTTTCCAATCGATGTTTCTTCACTTAATTTCTTATCACTTTGTTCAATTGAATTCCTCCAAACATAATAATTTTTTTTAAAAAAATGAGTGGGGAAATTTAAGGTGGGGCTGGGCCATGGTAAAGTGAAGCATTTCACTATATTCTTACCAATTAACTTTTTCCTCAAATGTTTTTCTATTTGTCCTGATTCAAACATATCAACAAGAAAATAACAAAAAATAGGTCTGGGTAGGGGAAATTTATGGTGGGACGGGGAGGGGAGGAACAAAAATAGGTCTGGGTAGGGGAAATTTATTGGTGGGACGGGGAGGGGAGGAACAAAAATAGGTCTGGGTAGGGGAAATTTTGGGTGGGAAGTTTGGCCATGGTAAAGTGAAGCATTTCATTTCACTATTGTCTTATCAATTACATTTTGTCAGCAGTATTTTTTTAGCTATTCACCCTATCATTATTTATGTGTTTTTATGATGTAGTCAGGATGATTAAAAAATATGGTGAAAGAATTCAATTAGTAAAAAAAAAAAATAGTTTAATGTTCACTTTGCCATGATAATGTGGAGCCCCCTGTCCCACCGTATATTTCCATACCTTTTTTATTTTCGTTTGGTTTTATTATGTGTGGCAGGTGAACTAATTTCAATAATGTATTTTATTTTCAGGTAACTTATTGTATTGATATAACAAGTAATAATTGTGTTCTTTTAATTATTTGACTTCTTTTATATAATTAGTGTACATGTAGTTCAAGTCGTGTATTGTAAAGTTATCATGCAAATTAGGGTCTATGTATATATTGATGAATTTATTAGTGTATAATTGCAGTGTACCTATGTTATGTGTAATGCATGTGACCTACCTGCCTATGTATTGTCCAGTATTACCTGTACTGTCCATGTCTTGTCTGCATGATATTTGTATGTAATGTCCATAACTAACTCGACCCTTGACATGACCTTTTAATTGACCTTTTATTGGCTGTATTTTTGGAGGGAAAGTTCTATGTGTAAATTGTTATGGGCAGAAGGAAAAGAGATTTGGTTAGTGATAGGTGTACTTTGCACCTCTCTGGTATTAATCCTTATTTCCCTTGTAAGAGCCAACTTGATTAATGTTACTGTAATAATGTGATACAGCAATTGTCCTTTGTTTAAACTGACCTTAACTAATCGGATTAAGACATGTGATCCTCAACCCATAGTCGAGATGGGACTGGGAATGACTGGAATCGGCGCTGACTGGGACTGGGACTGGTACTGACTGGAATCGGTGCTGACTGGGACTGACTGGAATCGGCGCTGACTGTGACTGGGACTGACTGGAATCGGGGCTGTCTGGCGCTGGGACTGACTGGAATCGGCGCTGACTGTGACTGGGACTGACTGGAATCGGGGCTGTCTGGCACTGGGACTGACTGGAATCGGCGCTGACTGTGACTGGGACTGACTGGAATCGGGTCTGTCTGGCACTGGGACTGACTGGAATCGGCGCTGACTGTGACTGGGACTGACTGGAATCGGGGCTGTCTGGCACTGGGACTGACTGGAATCGGCGCTGACTGTGACTGGGACTGACTGGAATCGGGGCTGTCTGGCACTGGGACTGACTGGAATCGGCGCTGACTGTGACTGGGACTGACTGAAATCGGCGCTGAATGGGACGTGGACTGACTGAATTGACGCGGACTGGTACTGACTGGAATCGGTGCTGACTGGGACTGACTGGAATCGGCGCTGACTGTGACTGGGACTGACTGGAATTGGGGCTGTCTGGCACTGGGACTGACTGGAATCGGCGCTGACTGTGACTGGGACTGACTGGAATCGGGTCTGTCTGGCACTGGGACTGACTGGAATCGGCGCTGACTGTGACTGGGACTGACTGGAATCGGGGCTGTCTGGCACTGGGACTGACTGGAATCGGCGCTGACTGTGACTGGGACTGACTGGAATCGGGGCTGTCTGGCACTGGGACTGACTGGAATCGGCGCTGACTGTGACTGGGACTGACTGAAATCGGCGCTGAATGGGACGTGGACTGACTGGAATCGGCGCTGACTGTGACTGGGACTGACTGGAATCGGGGCTGTCTGGCACTGGGACTGACTGGAATCGGCGCTGACTGTGACTGGGACTGACTGGAATTGGGGCTGTCTGGCACTGGGACTGACTGGAATCGGCGCTGACTGTGACTGGGACTGACTGGAATCGGGGCTGTCTGGCACTGGGACTGACTGGAATCGGCGCTGACTGTGACTGGGACTGACTGGAATCGGGGCTGTCTGGCACTGGGACTGACTGGAATCGGCGCTGACTGTGACTGGGACTGACTGGAATCGGCGCTGATTGGGATTGTAACGATAGATGACATCGTGCGGTGTTAAGCAAGATTTCTCAAGTGTAAGTGTAACGTTACATATGTTATTACCTTTCAACGTATCAAAACATAAAGGAGAGATTTAACTCTATAAAATCGAATGCTTTCATCTACACACCTTGTACAGAATCGGTCACATTCAGAGCCAGCCAAGATCAGGGAATTTAATGTGTTGTATTTTCCGGTAATTTCAACGTACTTAAAATGAAACAAGTGTAGTTAGTCTTTGATCACACTGGTTTATTATTACCGGACATCACTAACGTGACACTGGTTTATTATTAGACATCACTAACGTGACACTGGTTTATCATTACAGGACATCACTAACGTGACACTGGTTTATTATTACCGGACATCACTAACATGACACTGGTTTCTTATTACAGGACATCACTAACGTGACACTGGTTTATTATTACCGGACATCACTAACGTGACACTGGTTTATTATTAGACATCACTAACGTGACACTGGTTTATTATTAGACATCACTAACGTGACACTGGTTTATCATTACAGGACATCACTAACGTGACACTTGTTTATCATTACCGGACATCACTAACGTGACACTGGTTTATTATTACCGGACATCACTAACGTGACACTGGTTTATTATTAGACATCACTAACGTGACACTGGTTTATCATTACAGGACATCACTAACGTGACACTGGTTTATCATTACAGGACATCACTAACGTGACACTGGTTTATTATTAGACATCACTAACGCGACACTGGTTTATCATTACCGGACATCACTAACGTGACACTTGTTTATCATTACAGGACATCACTAACGTGACACTGGTTTATCATTACCGGACATCACTAACGTGACACTGGTTTATTATTAGACATCACTAACGTGACACTGGTTTATCATTACCGGACATCACTAACGTGACACTGGTTTATCATTACCGGACATCACTAACGTGACACTTGTTTATCATTACCGGACATCACTAACGTGACACTGGTTTATTATTACCGGACATCACTAACGTGACACTGGTTTATTATTAGACATCACTAACGTGACACTGGTTTATCATTACAGGACATCACTAACGTGACACTGGTTTATCATTACAGGACATCACTAACGTGACACTGGTTTATTATTAGACATCACTAACGCGACACTGGTTTATCATTACCGGACATCACTAACGTGACACTTGTTTATCATTACAGGACATCACTAACGTGACACTGGTTTATCATTACCGGACATCACTAACGTGACACTGGTTTATTATTAGACATCACTAACGTGACACTGGTTTATCATTACCGGACATCACTAACGTGACACTGGTTTATCATTACCGGACATCACTAACGTGACACTTGTTTATCATTACCGGACATCACTAACGTGACACTGGTTTATTATTAGACATCACTAACGTGACACTGGTTTATCATTACCGGACATCACTAACGTGACACTGGTTTATCATTACCGGACATCACTAACGTGACACTGGTTTATTATTAGACATCACTAACGTGACACTGGTTTATCATTACCGGACATCACTAACGTGACACTGGTTTATCATTACCGGACATCACTAACGTGACACTTGTTTATCATTACCGGACATCACTAACGTGACACTGGTTTATTATTAGACATCACTAACGTGACACTGGTTTATCATTACCGGACATCACTAACGTGACACTGGTTTATCATTACAGGACATCACTAACGTGACACTGGTTTATTATTAGACATCACTAACGCGACACTGGTTTATCATTACCGGACATCACTAACGTGACACTTGTTTATCATTACCGGACATCACTAACGTGACACTGGTTTATTATTAGACATCACTAACGTGACACTGGTTTATCATTACCGGACATCACTAACGTGACACTGGTTTATCATTACCGGACATCACTAACGTGACACTGGTTTATTATTAGACATCACTAACGTGACACTGGTTTATTATTAGACATCACTAACGTGACACTGGTTTATTATTAGACATCACTAACGTGACACTGGTTTATCATTACAGGACATCACTAACGTGACACTGGTTTATTATTACCGGACATCACTAACGTGACACTGGTTTATTATTACCGGACATCACTAACGTGACACTGGTTTATTATTACCGGACATCACTAACGTGACACTGGTTTATCATTACCGGACATCACTAACGTGACACTGGTTTATTATTAGACATCACTAACGTGACACTGGTTTATCATTACCGGACATCACTAACGTGACACTGGTTTATTATTACCGGACATCACTAACGTGACACTGGTTTATTATTACCGGACATCACTAACGAGACACTGGTTTATTATTAGACATCACTAACGTGACACTGGTTTATCATTACCGGACATCACTAACGTGACACTTGTTTATCATTACCGGACATCACTAACGAGACACTGGTTTATTATTAGACATCACTAACGTGACACTGGTTTATCATTACCGGACATCACTAACGTGACACTGGTTTATTATTAGACATCACTAACGTGACACTGGTTTATCATTACAGGACATCACTAACGTGACACTGGTTTATCATTACCGGACATCACTAACGTGACACTGGTTTATTATTACCTGACATCACTAACGTGACACTGGTTTATTATTAGACATCACTAACGTGACACTGGTTTATTATTACCTGACATCACTAACGTGACACTGGTTTATTATTAGACATCACTAACGTGACACTGGTTTATTATTACCGGACATCACTAACGTAACACTGGTTTATTATTACCGGACATCACTAACGAGACACTGGTTTTTTATCACAGGAATTTGTTAGCTATCTGTCCTCAGATTACATGCATAACCATTGATATCACTCTCGGCCCTCAGATTATGATCCATTCATATCAGCCTTGGCCTTTTGTTTCGTTATGAGTAAGTACTAGACAGATCCTTTATGTGGTCCCTAGCCCCACTTAGGACTTTATTAGAAAGGTCGGCATGTTTTATTCCACCTCGATATTGATTATGAAGGTTTCGGCTTTTCCCGTTGACTTTATTTTTGTTTGTTGAACGTTTCGACAACGATATTATGATGATAGATTTAGTTGGACTTTTTCGTAAGATGCTCTCGATATATAGCTTAAATGTATAGATATAGCTCAATAATTCTACTTATAATAATTCTAACAGTATCACAAGAATTCGCGACTAAAGAGTACCTACGAAATCAGTGAAAATAAACCTCTACGAAAATGAATGATTTTTCAGTATTTAAGAGCAATTAAGAGAAAAGAATACACGTAAGAGGATTTCGGACGGAAATTGTGGGCGGCGGGGTACCTCTGGAAACTCTTCCTTGTTGGTTGGGATCAGTTGATAAAGTACTTTAATGTTTTGATGCTTTATATCGCAGAACAAATCAGCTGGAACTCATACTTCATATATATAAAACAGTTGTTTATTTTACAGAAGTCTGTTGTGTTGATACTTGAGATTTCATATACTGTACAATGATTGATTTTCGTGGGGTCTTTATATTCGTTAATTCTGTTGGCACTCTATATCCAGGAATTCATATTTACGAGAACCAATAACTTGTTAGAGTTGTGACATTTTTGTGAATTCAGGAAAATAGGTTAAAAGACGAATAACAAATAAATAAAATACTCCATGGAATATAAACCCAACGAAAAACAAAATATGTACAGTATAATGGGGATTCAATCAATATCAGCAAATGGAAAAACACGAATTTATACTGCACAATTTAGCATAGATTTTTCTATGGTCTATGCAGCTTTAAATATAAATTTCTTTATTTGTAAAATTAACATCACACAAAAGATATACTCACGTTACTGTATATAAATGTTTAGATGACCTCGGGACAAAAAAAAAAAAAAAAAACTATTGTCCATCTCCGCCATAGTCTTGAGTTAAGCCAATTCTACTGGCATCATCAGGTCGGTCACCATCGTCACACACAAATCAACAATTTTCCAGGACTTCAAATAATGTCGACAAAATTATACATCTTAAATATTCACACAACAGCAAATATAATTTTAAAAAGCGGAAATATTGGATTACAGTTAAAACGAAACAACACATGAAAGGCTATGACAGTGAGGTACAATATTCTGTGGATTAGAAGTCGTACCTGTTTTACCCATACACCGTAGACCTGGTCTTTCAAAAGTTCCTTTAAACATTTTAGAAAATACGTGCTGTCGTGATCCACTCTTTGTGTAGAGAGTTTTCAAATTGGCGTAACAGTGGGTAATGGCATTGTATTGAAGGAGAAATTATTGGTAAAGGGTGCATTCATGAATACGGAACGCGAATAAGGTACATTGTATACCAGAGAGGGATATTGTGGCGCCATATTGTATGACGTTGTGGAAGGTGCATTCATAAAAACTGTCGGGTTAACACTTGTCTGAAGCAAAGGCGCTGAGAAAGTATTGCGATTATATCTTGAAGGTGATGAAAGTTGGACAAACTGTGGTGCCGATTGGGAAAATCTAGTTCCATAGTTTAAACCGTCGGGCACAACAGTTCCATCTGCTCTTACAGTAGCAAAGAATCCTCTGGGAATACGGGAAGCTGAGGCGGCCGCGAAAGTTAAAGCAGCTCCTGACACCATCTGTTGTTGTTGTTGCATTGCATTGGCCTGAGTAGACATGCCTGCGTTACCTGAAATATCAAGTGTTCCGATGGTGTTGGGAGATAGTTGATTCTGACTGCTGAAAGATGCCCCAAACGGCAATTCTGGTGTTCCGATGGTGTTGGGAGATAGTTGATTCTGACTGTTGAAAGATGCCCCAAACGGCAATCCCGGTGTTCCGATGGTGTTGGAAGAAAGTTGATTCTGACTGTTGAAAGATGCGCCAAACGGCAATTCCGGTGCTCCGATGGTGTTGGAAGATAGTTGATTCTGAGTGTTGAAAGATGCCCCAAACGGCAATCCCGGAATAACGTTGTTAGTCCCAGTTATTTGAGTTTGCGATACAATCTGAGAGGAAGCCTCCCCTATTTCCTGATTTTGTCCTGGTGAGAACCCTGCCATATTTATGGCCGCTTCAGCGCGAGCATTTTGTCCTGCTTGCGCAAGGACGTCTTGTGAAGTAACACCTGTTGTGGGTGAGCTGACAGCAGAGTTGAATTCATTTTGACGAGCAAGATCTTCCGCTTGTTCCTGTTCAGCGTTTTCGCGTTCTTTCTTGGCTTTTGCTGCTGCTTTTGCCGCTTTCATTTGTGCTATTTGTTTCTGCAGCTTAATCTTTTGCTTCAGTTTCAATAATCTTTCTTTCCTTGTTTCCTTTTTGCTTTTTGCATTTTTGTCAGCAGCAGCATCGTTTTGGCTTGTGCTGGTAGTACTTGTGCTAGTCGTACGTGTGCTAGTAACTGTGCTAGAACTTGTGCTAGAACCTGTGCTAGAACCACCGCTAGACCCAGTGCTAGATGTGGAAAATGGATTGCTACCACTGCTAGAGAATGACTGAGTATTCGTTGACAACAAATTTGTAGATATCAAACCATTAGGCCCGCTATTGTCAGTCAACTGTGGCGAAGGATCTGGAATTGGTGATAAAATAGTATTACCTTGTCGAAATTGTTGTTGCCGTTTCAGTAACTCTTGTTGTCGTTGTTGCTGCTGCTGCTGAAGTAATCGCGAAAGTATCTCGTCCTGTAAGTTTTGAGTCGCCATTTGTTTCTTCTTTTCATTTAAAAATTGGTTAAGTACGATATTGTTTTGTGCCAGTTGAAACGCGTGCTGTATTTTATTTCCATCTCTTGACAACAAATCTGCAGAATTCTGGTTAGCCTCATTTACAGCAGTTTCAACTGGGGAACCTGCGAGCAATTTTTTCAATGTTTCAGGCAAATTTCCTGGCAATTCTTGTAAATTTCTTGTGATTTCATTTAAACTTTGATGAGATGGCACTAAGCTTGCTTCGGCTGTTTCAGGTGCAATATGAAACGCATCAGCTAAAGGGTCACTGCGTGTTCCCGCGGGATCAACAAAGATTTTAGTCTCAGTGGTTTTTGTAACACTTTGACTGTACACGGATGCCACCAGACAAACGAGTAGAAACGGAACCGTCGCCATATCGTTTAAGGATATGTTAACTGCCCTCCTACAAGATAAAATGAGTTTGACAATCATTGGTCTCCCATGTAGAAATAATTCAACACTCAATTTGTTAGGTCTATAAATATATAGCAAAAATAGAAAATGGTTCAGAGATAAAACCAAACGTGATTTAAATTAACACTCTTTTTGTTGGTGTACTGTATACATTTTGACTACTACTTATCAAAATAACGATGAAAGCAAGAGAAAAAAGATTACGATATTTTTTTAGTGATTCAAATGCCACTGTTTCTTACTCAGATAGAAAGAAACAGGGATATACATATCACAGCCGTTATCTCAAGACTTTGAGTTTTCTGAATGTTGTAGTTTTATTTTCACACTATCTGATTTTTTGCGATTTTCAAAATATCGAAAATTAGAATCCCTCCAAAAATTAAAACTTTCTATTATGACGAAGTTAATTTGAGATATCGACTCGTGTTAATGCAAATTTCTATTGCTGATTTTGTCCTAGATAGTCGCGCTTTCATGCCCGTGTCTTATTGAATTGGATAATTCTTTTATCAACGAGATTTTCTAGATAAAAAAAAACATTCATGATGTTAAATATTTCAGAAAAAAATTTCCCAGGTATGAAGTATAGGTAAAGCTCAGAATGTATGCTTCACTCTGCCTGACTTAATTTATTGACAGTGTCACAGTAATGTTGTTGCATGTGTTTCGCATGTATGGTACATATTATTAGAATAACTGTCATTTCGGATAAATAAACAAAAATCTTACATCAGTACAGAATGATTGCTCTTATTTTGCATTCTTTTATTACAGTATTAAATATTATAGTTCTATAAGGATACTTCAATATCAATCCAAAATAACATTTCGTTAAGGACTGAAATATGTAAAATTATTCATATTATCAAATATCATATAAGGTAGACCTTTTAAAATCATAAACAAACGAAATAACAGATGTGTCAATCAACATTTTTCAAATAATAGAACAGAAGTTCTTGTAGCACAAGTAGTAGTATTATAGTGCTACTGGTTGTGTGTGAAGAAAATGTTTCAAAATATTTTTTCACGTAAGTTCTTGAAGTGTGTCTATTTTTCGTGGTTATTAGAATATTTCAGGGGTCATTACACATTTAAATGAAACAAGATACCTTTTTAAGATAAATAGGTTTTTTTTTCAATAATGTTTAAAACATTACTTTCACTAATGTTAAACATTCAATTGGAAATATTTTGAACCTGAATTAAAATTTTCCTATGAAATTATAATTTGGTGTTTTCGTGGTTTGGGAAAAAAATAAAGACTTAGTTTATTTCAATAATACAAATTAACAAACTTGGTAGGATATTATATAATGCCTATGAATAGTTAAACGACAAATTAAGAGAGAATTCTACTACGTACCTCTTCAATAGAATCGTTACTTTCCCAAGCAAGCAACACACGGAGGAGTGAGAGAAAATGAGAAGCAAAAAGTATTTAAAGTAGACTGTGTCATCAATTATAAATTTTTCGTTTCTCTATAAAGGTTAAAAGATAAGTGATGTTTCATAGCTGTATGTGATGTGTGCCTCCCTGTCACTTTCCGACACATCTGCGCGATGTATTTGATGAATGATATTTAAGACTGATAACAATGACCGCGTAATGACGTCACGCATGACTGCACAAAGGGGATCTTCACTTGATATACATTGTTCCAAAATTTATACATATCCTACAACAGAACGCAAGTGTGCTTTAAATTACTTATGTTGAATTAAAACAGATTAATAGTAATGATTAATTTTTGCGCCGTTTTTACACCTACAAAATATTGTATGTTTATATTGTTTCAGTAAATAATAAAAAAAATTGAGAAAATACATCTATAGGTAACCGTTTATTAAAAAATCAACTATGTTTTATTGGGTCTTAGTTTGAGTGATCCGTGTTTGCTTGTGTTGTGATGCGCGCGATGTTTATTAAGAGAGTGTACAAATGCACGTGTGCGACGTAATGATATCAGTACATACACGATTATTTAAAATGTACAATGGATCGTTTTATTACAAAAAAAAAGAAGACAAAACAATGTAACCTTGTCAGTTATGAGTGCTATATAGTGAAATCTATCATGAAGTCTGAAAAAAAACAATTGTATAATCTTACTTACAATTATATAAAACTGGTAATGGGATGTTTTACGTTGATTCTATTTGCATGATTCATTAACCGAATGGATAACGTGATTCTGATATGATGTTAACATTATTAGACCTATGTAAGTGTATCTAGTGTAAAGGTGTGTGATATTATATTTACTTGGTGTATGCTATCTCAGTTCTCAGCTTGAGAACGTCACATCTCTTGGCCAGTCCCACAAACTTCTGGTGTTTTTATGAACTAGAAGACGCATATCATTCCAGTATTCCTGGTCTTATCAATTTATTGTTGTAGTTTGTCCTCATTATTTTGATATACAGTTTCACGTACATTAGTTAAGATTAGTATCAAGTATAATGGTATAATTATGCTGTTTGGTATTACAGCTGTATATACTCTTTCCAATGATCATTAATTGAAGTAAGCGTGGATTACGTACCGAGTACATGTTATAGCTAAACGTTAATGCATACATTTCGATGTTACATCAATATTCTATTTTGCGAAGAGAAAGCCATGACTCTATGTACTACAGAGAAAGAAAAAAATAGGAAAAACCTCCAAAATATTCAAAATACATTTAATTATTATAACGATGCAATATCGAGGAACATGAAGACAAGAAAGACCTTCAAAAACTCCAAAATACGCTTTATATATCAATGCGAATACAAAAAAGTATCTAGAAACAATTAGATAAGAAAGGGCTCAAAATCTCCTCTTGAGGATACAGAATTAGTTTCAATTCCTCCTAATCTTACACACACAAAAATATACATCTAAGTATACGTGGTTTCTATTCATTAATATGTTACACAAGTCGCAGATAATTCGATATTCAAGGGCCTGTTCCCACCATCACGATTTTCTTGCAAGAAGTCGTCTACTGACGGACAAACTCGTAACACAGGGGTTCAGAACTCAATGGTTGATGAACATTATGAAGAAGTGTAATGGTTACATAGTGCCCCTATTGTGAAATACCCTATTTCTTCGTGCGATATGAAACTGGACGTGTTTGACTTGTCTGTTGGTTCCGTTGTTGTATACATTGTTCTCATCTGAGACCGTCATATTACTTACTTGGTTTGACCAAGGTTTACATGGCGAGTGTGGTCGTTGAAGCAGAAGACGCATACTCTTCCAGAACACCTAGTTTTATTCTCCTTGTAAACCTTATAAACTTCTAAACCAACTTACCTTCATCATGGTATTGGACAGTTATCATAACATAATGATAGACTTTAAGTGCATTTATCTAACAGGTAAAATATAGAATAGATAATGATTTTACACTGATAAGTAAAGAAAGAACAGTAGGAAAAAATAAAGAAAGACTAAAGTACTAAAGATTGGCAGTCCAATAACAATAAGGAATGCCTTTAATTGAAAATTTACTGTTTTTGTTTCATTTGAAAAAACACAGTTATCCCAGACTTCACATGCATATTCTAGAGACGTATGTAAATCAGATAGAGGTTTTCCTACTTAGTGTATATTTTAGTCTGAGTAAAGTTGATATATATATTTAGTGGTATTTTCTATCAATCTATTTATATGAAATTTCCACTTATGGTTGTGATACAGTAAGTATTACATTGTTATCAAAATTTTTAAAAAATGGATTTGAATACAAACAAACAGTTGATAAATGCTGCAGTTTTGTTAGGATTAAAATTCGTAAGCCACTTTTTAGACAAAATATTTAGCTCTTTAATCATTAATAACACGGTTAATATGAAGAAAATTTTCTGATGAATGGCCGAGAAAGTAGAGTGTCAGAAATACCATTTATGTACCAAAGAAAAAGGAATAGCTTAATGACAGAGTCGTAGGGGACTATAACTTTCTCTCCTGATGACAGAGTCGTAGGGGACTATAACTTTCTCTCCTGATGACAGAATCGTAGGGGACACTAACTTTCTCTCCTGATGACAGAATCGTAGGGGATACTAACTTTCTCTCCTGAGGACAGAGTCGTAGGGGACACTAGCTTTCTCTCCTGATGACAGAGTCGTAGGGGACACTAGCTTTCTCTCCTGATGACAGAGTCGTAGGGGACACTAGCTTTCGCTCCTGATGACAGAGTCGTAGGGGACACTAGCTTTCGCTCCTGATGACAGAGTCGTAGGGGACACTAGCTTTCTCTCCTGATGACAGAGTCGTAGGAGACACTAACTTTCTCTCCTGATGACAGAGTCGTAGGGAACACTAGCGTTCTCTCCTGATGACAGAGTCGTAGGAAACACTAACTTTCTCTCCTGATGACAGAATCGTAGGGGACACTAGCTTTCTCTCCTGATGACAGAGTCGTAAGGGACACTAACTTTCTCTCCTGATGACAGAGTCGTAGGGGACACTAGCTTTCTCTCCTGATGACAGAGTCGTAGGGGACACTAGCTTTCTCTCCTGATGACAGAGTCGTAGGGGACACTAGCTTTCTCTCCTGATGATACAGTCGTAGGGGACACTAACTTTCTCTCCTGATGACAGAATCGTAGGGGACACTACTTTTCTCTCCTGATGACAGAGTCGTAGGGGACACTAACGTTCTCTCCTGATAACAGAGTCGTAGGGGACACTAGCTTTCTGTCCTGATGACAGAATCGTAGTGGACACTAGCTTTCTCTCCTGATGACAGAGTCGTAGGGGACACTAACTTTCTCTCCTGATGACAGAGTCGTAGGGGACATTTCTCTCCTGATTACAGAGTCGTAGGGGACACTAGCGTTCAATCCTGATGACAGAGTCGTAGGGGACACTAACTTTCTCTCCTGATGACGGAGTCGTAGGGAACACTAGCTTTCTCTCCTGATGACAGAGTCGTAGGGGACATTTCACTCCTGATGAC